AGTTATTGAAGATTTGGGTCTCCCTATAGTCCTTCACAGCCAGGCAACACGTATTTCACATCCACTTGCATTCAGGAGTCAGTGAGCAGTCCTTGAGTTTGTTTTGAAGTTTAATTAGGGGATTTAGAACTTGGATGGGGTAAGGGGTATATGGGATTCTCAAGGGAACTGAGAAACTGAGGACAACTTCCTGGACTATGTAAAAGTCTTTACATTAAGATCCTCTTCGTGTAGAGCTAGCCAGCATCTCCTGTTGTACCACCCTAGATGTTCCTCTATCCAGCTGCCTGGAGGAATCCCTGAGCAGGGGATCCAGTGCCTATCACTTTAAGTGATAAGACAGTCCCGGGTGGTTGCTAATCTGGTATCCCACCAAAGTGCTTCCTTACTCTATCTGACCCAGGGGGTGCAGGCCTACTCACTCTGTCCTTCTCCTGTGTTGCTGATGGGTTGGTGGTTGCTACCAGGCCTTTTAGCTGGGCCGGTCTTTTCCTGCCTCATTGGTGGCCCTCTTAGGGGGCTGGTGAAGTCCTGAGATTTCCTCCTTCCATGGTCCTCTGCCTGTAGGTGAGACCCTCTCCATCTGGGCCCCCTCCCAGGATCCTGCTCCTCAGCCTCACATCTTCCTCTTCCACCCGAACTCTCCTGCAACTCTTCTGCTGGTGAGCAGGCTCAGTTACTCCTAAAGGTTGCCCTGGCCCCTTGCCATGCCTCTTGTTGGGGATTGGCCAGAATCCTCTAAGAGTACAGACTAACCACTCCTCAGACCCACCCACTGCTTCTAGATCTTTCTCCAACATCCTAGAGCAGGGGGAAATTCCAGAGGGCTGGTCTTCAGAGCCTCTCAGCTCTGACCACAATTTGACTCCTGCTAGTTATCATACCTAGGCTGTTATTCAGCCCTAACTAACAATTAGAGTCTAGCTTCCCCTAGCTGACAAGAAGTGCTCTACAGATTTGGCATCACCTAGATTTGGCTTCTACATAACTACGTGTAAGTTAATGATTTTATTCCTTCTTATAAATACCTGGGTCCAGTAACAGTTACAGTGCTCAATACTGAATACACTTTCTGTCTTTAATTGCATATACATAGTTAGCAAGACACATCTGCTATTTCTGTGGCAAACAATAAAAAAAACCCTTAGAACCCCTTAGCATGCGAGCCAAACCTTTGCAAATTCTAAATATTCTAAAGGCAATAAAATCACTAAACTTTTATGTCAAATATATTCTTTGATTCCAAGTTAAATGTAATAAAATCACAACACTGTTACATCAATTATTTTTTTTTTTTTTTAGAGTTAAGTCCAGAAATTGGAATTTACAATTTTAAACAATAAAAAACAGAATGAAGTAGAAACTAAAGATGACAAAAATTAACGCATTAGTACAATATCCTACAAATATCACTGAAGAGGTAACAAACAATTCTTGGAATAAAAAAGTTCCCAGGTTCCTCATTCTACTATTCCCAAGCCAAGCTAATAAAAAATGCACATAAAATAGGTAATGGTGCAAAGGAATTATACTATAAAATATATAACCATTCCATGCAATCTAAAATCAGGCCACCCAATCTAAATTGGGCTCAGTCATGTATCTTTTGCAGATGTGACCATGAAGCATGACTAGACAACGTTTGGAAGTCAGGCCAAACTTCTGGATTGTTTGAGAGGCAAACAAGTAACTCATTCAATAGCAGATGTGCTCATCCAAGTCCAAACATATATAGATTTGTTATGGGTGCTGGCTGTCTATCATACACTAACCGATCATCTCAGATTAGGCTGTTTGGGAACTCTTACCGCTACTGTTGATAAAGCACTAGTCCTATCTTATCTTCTATCATAAAAATTGATCTTGCAAAAGCTATTTCCAATTTTAACACAAATGGATTCTGTCGGAAGTTTGCCCCCACTCACCTGTGTGATTCTCAGCAGTCTCTCGCTTCTGCAGGGTTTTATTTTTTTTTTATTTGCTTTAAAAAGGTTTAAAGCAGGCCAAATGCAGGTCAAAAGGAAGTGAAATGCACCTGTCAATATATTCTGAATAATCTTAGAAGCATCTCAAAATTATATCAAACACAAAGCCAACGTCCAATTATAGAGGCTGTTATAATTTACAATTATAAAATATATCGGCATTAGTTATTATGCACACATTAATTCATGTAATACAATTCTCTACACATCACATCAGAGTGCCAATCAATTGACTATTTCATTGCCACTCAGCAGATTTATAAAGCTGCAAAAAACAGCTGAATTTAAAAAATAAGGCACATTCTGTAAGTGGAGTGATTAAAGTAAATCTTGGCACCTTGCAAGCTTTGCAATTCTCTCTCATTTTTTTTTTAATTAGCAGTAAAATGCAAAGCATAGTGTGGAACAGGATTTCTCAACCAGGGTTCCTTGAGCAACCCCTGGTTCCTCCAAAGGTTGCCAGGGGTTCCTTGAGCAATGAGCAATTTTGCCTCTCAGGTAAGTTCCCACTGACACCATTGGTCTTTTTAGCTATCTGTAAGGGGGCAATTCTTCCCAATGACCACAAGTGGAAGGAGCATTCTTACCTCTGACTATCACACTAATGTATCATGAATTGTAGATAAAGTCCTCCATGCTCAGTTTTCCTACCATCTGTATGCGATTTTGCTGATTATCCTTGGCCTTTGCCTACTAGCTCATTGGTCACTACTTGATCTCTGTTATAAATGCAATTTATAAGGTTTCATTCCATCTATTTATATATTGTGTTTATGTACTCCTTTTCTCTCCACTTTAATACTGCAATGCATTTGTTATGTCCCTCCTCAGAAGAATTGTACACCTTATTCTTTTGTGTCAATGATCTTGATTTTGACTGTTTCTTTGTTGTTGAGCTGTCTTAATAAAATTCATTGTAAAAGAATTGTAGATAAAGTCATTTTTAGCAGGGGTTAACTGAGACCGGAAAGTTATGTCAAGTGTTCCTCTGCATTGAAAAGGTTGAGAAAGACTGGTGTGGAATAAACACTATTATGTCTGTCAGAGACCAGAGACTCATTTTAGGCAAACAGGCAGCTTCTCAGCTTCTTACCTAGCTAGTTTAACACTGGTTCTTAGGGTTGCCACCTCATGGCTTTAAAACACATATTAATTACACAGGTTCTGTGGTTGATTAAGGTGGTAATTAAACTCACTTAGTGCCTTACCTGCATTAAATTATCCTCAGAACCTGTGTAATTAATATGTATTTGGTTTTAAAGGGATGAGGTGGCAACCCCACTGGTACTGCTGTTCACAGTTATGTGGTGGACTAATTTTATCCATGTCAACAGGAGCGGACTGACCATTTGGGAACTCGGGCACTGACCGAGGGCTCAGGTTCAGTAGGGGGCCCCATGAGATGCCATTGGTACCTTTCATAGGCTTTTTTTGGGTGTGGTTTAAGTGTGGGTGAGGACACAGGGGCCCCATGATCCCCTATTGCCCGGGGGCCCCATGAGTTGTCAGTCCGCCCCTGCATGTCAATTCATTAACTTTAATAGGAGCTATTGATATGAAGTATCTTTTATGTTAGCTATCAACAAGTGCTGCACTATACAAGAAGTTTTATGTCTTAGCCACTAATGTGCTGAGTGGATATTTGATTGTGACACCCTGTGCTTTACTCCAAAGAAAACCAACTATCAGGGTTCAAACTGAATTTAAATTATTAGGGTCCCTTTTCTGCTTATTCAAATGTCATTGGCAGATAAAATCACCAATGTGCTCCTGTATAAGAGTAGTTTTGGGCTGCTCAACTATTTGCCAAGTAAAAACACGTATTTACTGTGTATCGATTGACAGCTAGATCAGGGTAAGCAGTGCACAAGCATACGTGCCAGTGGGAGGAGGGTCCCAGCATCCACTAAGCCCACATCTTGTATAAATGGATCTCTTAAGCTGGCCATAGATGGGTACAATTGTGAACACAAAATTTCTCAGGAAAAGAAGGTTCTAAGAAAGTTTAAGTTTGTTCACTTTTTTATTTAATAGTGGGTCAAATTGAAGTTTGTTTTTACCTGCAATGATGAGAAAATTTGAAGGTGCAGAACAGAAAATTGTTCTCAAACAAACAAATTTCTAATAGTCTAGGTGGTTTTTTGTTTGGTAAAGTCCATCTCTTTCAAAATAAAATGTTAAAACCAATGGAAATCTTTTCAACGACAAATGAATGTTCTGAGAATTTTCGTACAAATTTCCCTAAGACTTTCCTAAGAATTTTCTTACAAAACTATCCATCTATGGCCATCCTGTCTCAGCAGGCCCTTGTGCAGCTGGACAGGCTACACAAATAGAATAGAAAGGTGTTGGACGCTGGATCTCTTAAAGTACAAGGTGTTTTCAGTCAGGTCTTCACCAGTGTAGATGGAATGATCATTAGGCAGCTGTTTCAAAGGTCAGCTCTCTGCTTGAGTAGGGACTGGATATGGTAAGCAGAAAGCACCAAAAAATATAGCGTTAAGCTCTGGCTTAACCAGCATTCAAAGAAATCATAGCAATTACAGTCAGAAACACTCCAGTTTTCAGTCCAGTATATGCTTCCTTTAACAGTAACAAACCTTGGTAAAGGGGGGGGGGGGAGCCTTTGAACCCCGAACATGCTTTGGCTATTTATGATACAGGAGTCTAAATTCAAAGACAAAAAATTAAATGTGGACTTTGTTTCTGTTTTTGGCGCTTTTCCTCCTTGTATACCCAGTCCTTGCACAAACAGTACTATGTCCACTCCTGAAGCCCTCAAATATAAGACATCAATGGAGATCAATGAGTATGTACAATGTGGATATACATATACAGTATATATACATAGATAGATATATAATATAGATATTTATATATATATATATATATATATATTTGCAGTCCATTATCTTCATATTATCATGTACACATCATATTAATTAATATTAAAATATGGCTTTTAACTGTAAATTGTACCTACCTGATTTATCAACATGCATATATATTACATACAGCTCCTGTTCCTATAACCTGCTCCATGAGAGGAATGGATTTGAAAAAAGAGTCTGCTCAAGTACTATGTCCCCCAGGATGCAACACCCAACAGCTCTCTGTCTATGGAGATGGCGTATATGCAGGCGTGTCCAGTGTGTGTGGCGCTGCACATCACCGGTATGTCTGATTTATTAATATGTATTACTAAAATGGTTAATATCATATTAAATGAGAGTATAGGGATCACTGGTAATATCAGCAGATACAACAATGCATGTCTTATTAGGTATTGAATATATCATTTTATGAAAGAAAAAAAAAGGGTACTTTGCAATTACACTGGGGTTTTATCAAAAGGTCTTGGATACAGTCCCAAAGTCATTCAGTGTCACTATGACATATGTATATAATTTCTACCATATTCAGCACCATCCAACTCAAAAGTAACATGTTTTTAGAAAATATGTAGAATGCCATTGCCTTTCTCTTTTAAAAATGCTAGTTTACTGGCTGTGAGTTTCTGACCTTTAGCAAGTATGCATAAATTATGACTTTCCTATGACTTCACTAGTGACATGCTTGTTATGGGTAAGTGGTTCAGAAAGTGCCACAGACTGTCAGAAAACTAATATTTTCAGAAGAAAGCCATTCATTGCAGCCTCCATATTTATTTTAGTGCAGGATGAGTGGCTGAGCTCCCCTCCAGCAGATCAAGTCCCTCCTCCACACCCCATTTGCACACAACGCATGTCCTCTTTCTATCTGTATGCCATTGTTACTTTCTTGTTTAGCGTGTTCCCATCATCTGCCTCCTAAATTGAACATACCTATATTTTCCAGCAAGTATAATGAATACTCTTATTAATAAACAAAAGCTTTTTTGTGTAGTTTTGGGCCTTGGATGGTAGGTAATACCAGGTGTACCAAAGGCATTACTCAACATTAGAGCCTAGGTTCAGACTAATTAATAGTTATATAAATAGTTTGTTCTGCAAATGTCTCAGCATTAGCACAAAAGTCACAGATTCCCGTAATATTCATAATGTGTGAACAACAGAGTTCTGTCTATGCAACATTGTATCAATTTTGTATAGCGGTTCCAGCCCTGCAGTAGCTGATCCATTACACTGGCGATGGTGAGCACAGGAATTTCCATACACTTTGTACACAACATAGAGGTCTCCCTCATATTATTTCCTCTTCTGGTCAAATCTTTTTTAGCCTATACCGTTACACTTTTTTCTATTGGTCAAATGTTCTTGAGGCTTTATTTTATTAGGATCAAATGTTAGGGACTGTAAATTCACCCTGCAAAAATAGCAATAAATAGAACCTGACATTTCACTCATATTGCAAACATTACATATATTATTTGTGACTTTTGCACAAATTCTGAGACATTCGCAAAGCAAATTTTTTTACTTAACAGGCCCTTTAATGTCATATTCTATTTAATATAACATGTTTGATCCTCTCCCTCTCTCCATGGTACTTTTCTGGGTGCCTGACTGGCCGTTCAACAAATTTCAGGGATGTCAAAGAAGAGGAATAGGGATGAGTCAATTGCTACCCATACCTGGTATTTCTCTTTTCTCCCAGTGATCAAAAGTAGTGGAGGGGAGCAAAGTTAAGGTGTGTAGCTAGAAGGGTGACTGATAAAGGGACCCTTTCCTTTGTCCATTCAGGTCAAAAGGGTTGTTTTATTCCGTTCTCCCCAGTATCATATTCTCACCTTTTCTCCCCAGCCACTACACTCATCCACTGGTATGAGAAACATGTGACTCACTTTTCCCCCGGCATATAGCAGCACTTGATGCTTCAAAATTGGTCTAGTGTAGGGAGGGAGTTTATAGCCCAGTGTGAGCTCTGTTTGTAGTTTTCCAAAGAAGTTTTTTTTTTCTCTCATATCAGCAATTGAACAGAGAAAGAAAGGATCAAATATATACTGTTGTGGTTTGGAAAAGTGAAGTGGTCATTTATTTTTCCCTGCACTGGGATATTGTAAGTTAAAGTCGAAGTACAGCCAAAGTTCTTTTGCCCGTATTTCTCCTGTGGATCACATGAGTGCAGTTCGTTCTGCACTCCTGAGACCCGTTTTTCAGCTGACAGCGGGCTGAAGTTCACTGTCAGCTGACATCACTCAGCCAGTCAAGGCTGGGGAAAGATCTTGACCTCAAAGTTGGGATCAACCTCAGTGTCTGGAGTGGCACCTGGCTCAGCCTCTCAGCAAGCCACTGAGAGCCTGAAGCAGCCAATCCCTCCCCCTCCACAGCATAGCCCTCCAGTGAGCAAGGGGGGTGGGCAGAGCAGAGAGCGGTGACTGACAGTCACCGCTCTCTGCTCAGAGCAGCTATGAGAACTGATCACTGAGTTCTCACCCTTAGAGCCAGCAGGAGACAGATGCAGAATCGGACCGACACCGCATCCACCTAGGAATGAATAATTGAGGGAAAGAAAGCCCATACTACTCTTTTAATTATAAATTGTAAAACACACACTGCTGCATCCCTTCTACTCAAAATACATACTGTATACAAAACCTCCATACTAACAAATTATGCAGTGCAATACACGTGAATAAATCATATTCAAAATATTATTTTAATATGTATGTTTTTTCCACAGGATCTCATGGAGTACTAATAGCCATGGGTTCAGACTATTATCTTTTTGAATACACTTTGAAGTGGTTGTAGAGGCAAACCTTTTAATACAGCTAGACCAGGAAAACACTGGACCTTCTGTCAAGTTTTATCGCTGTCTGTGTCCCCTTTGGGGTGATTCACTCTTTGTTTTTGTCACCAGAACCAAAAATTGTATCTGGGAAGAGGTAAGGCTAAATTTTCAAAGGGGACACCTGTTCCAGCTGTTGACAGCTGCCTAAGTCCCCGGTCACATCGGGTGTGACTTGGCATACGATTTGCATGCTATGCGATTTGCAAATCGCATGCCAAGTTACACCCTACTGTCCGCAATTACAGCGGTCATATCGATGCGGGTTCCAGCTTGGTCGGAGCCGCACCTATTTCTACAGTAGTACATGTACTACTTTTGGTACGATTTGCATAGACATCTGATGTCTGACAAATCGCACCTGAAATCAGCAGTCCCCCGACTTTGAAATCGTGCAACTTTACTGTAAGTCGCACAACTTCAAAGTTGGGCTTGATGTGACCGGGGTGTAAGAGGGAATTTCTTTCACTCTAGGAGATTTTCTTCTAATTTTTCTATGTTCTTGTTGCACCTCAGAACAGGATGTGAAGGAAAATGTCCCCAACTGTACACAGACAGCAAAAAGAAAAAAAAAACCCACAAAATCTTTCATGGATTTTAGTCCATTCTTAATCTATTTTTAAAAAATAAGTTTTGGCTATAATACATTTTAGCTCAATTTGTTCTATTGCCTACATGGGTAAAGTAAAGGGTTACGTTTATCAATACAGATATTTTATCTATTTGATGTCAGAAATGTAAGAGCGCTATGATTGTCCAGATAGTTAGCAGCAATTTCTTTTTTGCTTTTTTGCTAGTGGGGTGATTTCCAGCAATGGTGGACCTGTGTCACTACGTAGACTTCCTGGTAAACAAAATTACCAAGCTGTCTTAGCAAATGGAATCCAATCACAGCCACTGAGCAAATGGTCATTATCTTTCTCTGTATCCAGTAAGTAAATGTATTTATTTATTTTCTACATGTAGTGCACCTGTGGGTGTTGGTTTTAATAAATATGTGAGTACAACTCCTACCTGAATCTGGTGACACCCTTGAAATCCTGTGGCACAATGAGAAACACAGTTGTAAAAATGTGTACTTGTATTCAGTGGCTGCTGCAAACTAAAAAATGGTTAGTACTGAGCAGCAAGTCCAATAATTAAAAGTGGAGTCACAGTATTGACATTAAAACATCAACAGATGCAATATAGCAGGGGTATTGAATTCAAATTCACAGATGTCCAGTCAGTAAAATTTTCTTCCAGCAGAGGTACGCCTATTTCATTCTTAACGGCACCTTGGAGCATCTGCAAATGGATGGCACAATCTGGCACAATTTTAAAAATAACTTTTTTTTTACATTTCTGCATATAAGAAAGCCCATTGAAATAAATGGGTTGCCTATATGCAGAACACAGGTCTCAAAGATGTAAATCCTAATCTCAGATACTTCACATTACAATCCTGTTATTACAACAGTGTTCTCAGTCCCCCAGTACATCACAGCCCCCCCTTCCCATCAAAATCCCCTCTTTACATCACAGTCCACCCTTCACACTAGTGTTCTCAGTCCCCCTTTACATCACCACCCCTTCTTTAACAGCAGTGTCATCAACCCTCTTCACTTCACTCCCACTTTACATTCCTGTCCTTGGCCCCTTCTTCATATCACTCCCCTTGCTACTCCTGTCCTCAACATTCCCTTTATATCTCCCCCCTCCTCCTTCACATTCCTGTTCTCACCCCCTCCTTCACAATCCTGTCCTAAGCTCCCCTTCCTATCATCCACCCTTCACATACCTGTCCTCAACCTCCGTTCATATCACCCCCCTTTACATCACTGTCCTCAACTCCCCTTCATATCACCCCTTTCACATTCCTGTCCTTGCCCTCTACACCCCCCACACCTTTGTATCACCCCCTCCAACTTCACATTCCTGTCCTAGCCCTCTCTTTATATTCCTGTCCTCAGCCTCTCCTTTATATTCCTGTCCCCAGCCCTCTTTTTTTTTTATCTTTAAACTATACCCTCCCAACTCCATATCCCTCCTCCCTCCCCTCCCTCTCCCACCCGCTCTGATCCCTTTTTCTCTCTCAATGTTTCCTTATCCCTGTCTTCTTCTTATTTCTTATTTATTCTCCTTCTTTATATAATTTCCTATAAATTTCCCATTTCTTCCACCTTTCCTGAAATCTCTCTATTTTATCCTCCACTAAATGCCGGAGTTCTTCCATCCTGTAAACGTAATCCATCCTACTTATCCAATCTTTATTTTCGGTACTTCTTGTTTTTGCCAAAATTTTGGAATCAATCCTTTTGCCGCGTTTATAAGATGGAATTCCATTGAGTTTTTATATTTCTCTACTGTATTGTCTGTTTTATGGAATAAACATGTCCCAGGTTCTTTCGCTATGCTCTTCCCAGTGATCTCCTGTATTTGGTATATTATCTCCTCCCAGTATTTCTGTATTTTACAACATTCCCACCAAATATGTGTCATAGTGCACTCTTCCCCACATCCTCTCCAACATTTAGGTGAATTTTCTACTCGTTGCTTATGTGCAATACTCGGTGTAACATACCAGCGTGCTAAACATTTATAATTCATTTCAAACTACTTTCATGTCTATAGCTCCTTGTGCCAATCTATATATTTTCTTTCTATGTTGTTCATCTAGTGCTATTCCCAATTCCCTTTCCCATTTTATCATATACGGGGGTGGAGTGACTTCTACACTTGTGATAAGAATTTTATATATTCGAGAAGTGCCGTGTTTCTGTAACCCATTTCTACTGAGCAATTGCTCAAAGGGGTTAAAATCTTTAACTGTCCTTAAAGGCTTGGGGAGCTTTGAAACAAAATGTTTAAGTTGTAAATATCGCCACTCATCTAAACTGACAAACAAATTCTTATTTTTTAATTCTTAAAAAGAGCATATTACTTCTCCCTCCATTATATTCCTTAACTTAACGTCCTCTTTTCGTATCCACTTCCCTGAAATATTTTCCGTCCCTGGCGGAAAAATTTTAAACTCCTAACGGCATTAATATTTATTTATTGAGTTTATATAGCGCCAAAGGGTTTGCTCAGCGCTGTACAATAGATAAAGAATTAAACTCCCATTTTTTTCTGCTTGTGAATAATATCCCAAACCCTAATTACATTTAGTGTATATGTGCTTGTGCTTTCTGATAAATTACGATATTGATGCGGTAACCAAATTATTCTATTCAACTGTACCCCACTTAAAGTCCTTTCAATGTGTACCCAACTTTTCTTTAGTGCATTATATGTCCAATCAAATATACGTGACAGTAATACTGAGTAATAATATTTCCTAAAATCAGGTACACTTAACCCTCCATTATCTTTATCTCTACATAATACATCGTAGCTTATTCTAGGTCTTTTATTTTTCCAGATAAACCTCAGTATCAGTTTTTTAATTATATTGAAATAGGTATAGGGAGCTGTATAGGTATCATATGGAACTTATAAAGACTTTTCGAGACAATTACCATTTTTAATAAGTTTATCCATCCTATCCATGTTCTAGGTCCTTCTGCTAATTTCCTCAACTCTTCCCTAATCTCATTTATTAGTGGAATATAGTTTGCTTTATATATATTCTTTATGGAGGAGGTGAGTTTTATCCCCAAGTATTTTAACTCTTTTTCTCTCCATATGAATGGGAATTATCCAGATAATGCTTTCTTTTCTATTAATGGAACACTGACATTTAAAATCTCAGATTTAACAGGGTTTATTTTTAAGTTTGACAATTCTCCATAGTATTTCATTATTTTCATCAGGTTGAGTAATGTCATTCTAGGATTAACCACATAAAATAGCATATTATCCGCATATGCTGCTACCTTATGTTCTGTTTTCCCTATCTTTATCCCCTTTATATCAATGCTGTTCCTAATTGTTGCTAGGAGAGACTTCAAGGACAATACAAAAAGCAGTGGCGAAAGAGGACACCCTTGTCTCGTCCCATTTTTCATCTTAAAAAACCCTGACACTGAGCCATTGACCTTCACTGCTGCTGATGGATAACTATTTAATTTTCCTATCCATTCTTTCATCCTGGGCCCAACTCCCAAAACTTCCAATGTATCTAACATGAAATCCCAATCTACCCTGTCAAAGGCTTTCTCTGCATCTACTGATAATATCATAACAGGGTATTTTTCCTTTTTCCTTTTTTGTATTAGGAGTCATGTTCTCAGCCCATTATCTCTTCCTTCCCTCCCTGGGACAAAGCCCACCTGATCTAGGTGGACCCAGTCAATATAGCATTTCACTTTCCACATCTGGAAACTCTAATTCCCAAATTTGTCCATTATTGCACTCCCAAATCTGGGCTGGGCCTCTGAACAACCACATGGTAACAACCTTTCCTGGTCATCTTCCCATCAGCACACAATGGGGTTAACCCATTGTGCTTACATGAGGACAGACCAGGAAAGGAAAATTACGTGTTTGATAACAATTTTCCATTTTTCTGGTTGTCCTCCTGCCAGCACACAATGGGTTAACCCCTCCCTTTGGCTCCTCAAGACCACCTTTTCCAGCTTAATAAAAAAAAAGGCTTTCCCCTCCCTTCCTGTTCTCTTTTTTTGATCGCTCCAGGCCACCTAAAGGTACAAGCAACCAGCATTCCCAGAAAAAAAAGAGAACAGGAGACGCCAGTCTAAGTGCAGTAATTAGATGCTGCATTTAATAATATAGGATTAAAAACACTCAAAAGAGGCAAGAGAATAACAAGCTCATCTTTGTAGGGGGATGTGGCCACTCCTCTAAGTCCTGCAGGTACCGCTGGTCATACACCTAGGGTGCCATGGATGTAAGCTGGGACAGTGTGGAACTGTGTATGCTTGTTGGGAGACCACCCAGATGTCAAGGGGTGCAGCAGAGCAGGTCCAACTCCATCTGGACCTGGAAGAGTCCACGCTGACCAGCATGGAAAGATCTGGCGGACATGACATCACTGGAAGAGGCGGAGGGCCGGATGTAGAACACAGAAGATACCAGGAACACAGGCAAAGGACACAGGCTACATGCCTCTAGCTCCTTCTACAGGACTCTATTAATTTATTTAACCTGTGCCTGTCTCCAGCACGGAGTTATACTTTCAAAAGGTACATATACATACGTCATTTGCCTTGCAGACATCTGACATTTTGTTTATAATCCATACTGTATTATTTTGGAATAACCCAACCTCTGTGCGCCAGAATTTCTCCTTTATTGTCAACCAGTATTCCCCCCTACCGAATCTTTTCCCCCCCAGGTTCAGCCAGAGAGAGCAAAAAAAAGAAAAAAGGGAAAGATGCAGAAGGAGGAGTGGATTTGGAAGGGGGGCTTACTCATACATTTGATTCAAACTATTATTATTTATTTGTTCCACAGCCACAACAGGCACGAATATCTGTGGAAAGGTAGGAGGGGCTTCGGGGGACTATGGTGAAAAGAGTGCTGCTCAAGAAACTAACATGATGCGCGTTGTTTGTAGGAGCAGGAGCTCACGGAAAGAGAAGTCCCGCCATCGGTCAATATCTCTGAGATCCGATTCTCACTTCAAAAACAAGTTTCACTTGCCCTTCATTCCAGGCTGCAGTAGAACTCCAGTCACGGATCCAAGGCAGACAAGCTGGCAATCAGATGGCCTATGTTGGGTCCCATCAGCTCTCCATCAGCTCTCAAGAAACTGTTGTGCACCGAATGTATGAGATGTGGCCACAGACAGGAAGCGGAGGCCCATAGTGTAAAGGATAATATACATGAGGCAGTAGCCGAAGAGCGTACATCTAGTCTCCAAAGCAAGCAGTTCAGAACATGAACCTGAATTAAAGAGTCCACAGGACAAAGAACAAAAACCTCCAGTCCTGGAAATTTGTTCAGGGTCTTCTTCTGAGTCAAAGGACTTGCTTGATCATTTATTTG